AGCTCATCGCCTTCAAGCTCCTCAACAGATTCCTCCCCAGAGACATCCCCTTGTCCAGCAGTCTTCCGGGGAGCTTACAGCCACGGGACGGATCCCCCACGGCCAGATCGCGAAGGGACTCGGGAGGATCGGCGTCCTCAAAGCGGTCATGGGAAGACTCAGACTCGGACGTTATCGCATCTTGGGATAGTGGGTCCATGGAGGTTTGTTGCGCTTGAGCTTCCATCTGCGCGGCCTGGCGAGCTCTTGCGAGGCCTGCTTGAGCGCGTGCGGCGGCCGCCATATGGGCTTTGTTTCGTCGAGGCATGTTGTCGGTGAGTATCAGGGACAGGGATAATCAGGTAGTATTGTGATTGAAAAAGCATACTACTCTACATGCTGTATCGTGGTCGGTATGTACTATACTATATATGGTATGTCGGTCAATCCAAGTGGCGGGCCAAGCATCGCCGACCCCGCCCGACACGCTGAGCAAAAACCGTTGACTCGAAAGTAAGGCCGTGTCACGTGATCATTAAGCGCGCGCTTAACTGCGTACAAAAGTGGATGCCACTAATTGAACTGCACCATAGATTTTGGGTCCGGGTAAGGATCATCCTGTTATCGGGTGGCCTTATCGCACCGCTCTCTTGCATTCAGAGCCGTACATCCTCACCGTTGCTTGCTCGGTCGAGGATACCACACCAAACAACCTCACAATCGAATTCCTAGCTTCAGGAAGTCACTGGCACCAAAGGCGTCAACTATGTCTATCCATTTCGTTAAGCGCTCTCAATGCCATCTGGCTTGGGACAACAGGTACGGACCGCGGCTATGATCTATCACTCCTCTCTGTCTCAAGGCGTTGCGCAGCATTTCCCCCGTCATCCACATATCCTCGGGAGAGACAGTCACCTTCGACTGTCTTGACGCGTCTAACGGCCAGATCACTGCCTCGTCTGACATCACGTCCCTCGCGTCCCTCGTCTTTTCCCAATTAGATCAAGTCAATGGCCCAGTACACATTTCCGGAGCGCAGCCTGGCGACACCCTCCGCGTTGACGTCCTCGGCATCGAGACAGCGGACTGGGGCTGGACAGCGCTCATACCTGGCTTTGGGCTGCTCGCGGACGAATTTCCCGAGCCTGCGCTCAAGGTCTGGAAGCTCGTCCGGAAAGTGGACGGAAAGGACGTTTGTGGCAACGGCGAGTATGGATACGGGTGGTTCGATGAGGAGAAGGGGATCAAGATCCCGCTGAAGCCGTTTGCGGGGGAGATGGGCGTCGCTCCGGGGAAGGCCGGGGCGCATTCGACGATTCCTCCGTACGCGACTGGAGGAAACATCGATACGAGGCATCTGACCGCAGGATCAACGTTGTACCTGCCCATAGAGGCGGAAGGCGCGCTTTTCTCGATTGGTGTACGTAGAGTCCCTTGAAGCAGACATGATTGGCAAAGCTTGCTGATGGTGGTTTATAGGATGGCCATGCAGCGCAGGGAGACGGCGAGGTCTGCGGTATGCATGTCCCTCTCTCTGTTTGGAACCTGAGCTATATTCTTATGGTGTTTCTCGAAGGGACCGCAATCGAGACGCCAATGAAAGTCTCGGTAAGACTCACGGTCTTGAAAGACAAGCCATACGTAAAGACTCCACACTTCACTGCGCACAACCCTCATGCAGGAACCGAGCAATTTTATTGCACGACAGGCGTCGACGCAGGTACGCGCGAGCTGGTCCTCCTCCGCAGCTGAACTGTTGAGCACCGCGTTCATGTAGACATCCGAGATGCGACCCGAGCCGCTGTCCGAAACATGATCGCGTTCCTCAAAGCGGAGCACGGTCTGAGCGCAGTTGAGGCGTACATGCTATGCAGTGTCGCAGGCGACCTGCGCATGCACGAAGTAGTGAGTGCATGCCTTCCGTACGAGGGACTGATGAGTCTTAATGGCATCACTTCGCTCGCGCCAGGTCGACATGCCCAACTATGTGGTGCGTAAAACGTTACACAAGGAATGCTGTCGATATGGGAATGTTCTGACTTGCACCATTGACTTAGATCGGTATGATGCTGCCGAAGTCGGTATTTACGCAAGCGTCATGAAACTTGACTTCGTGGTATTATTTGAATTGATTCATTTGGCGGCCCTATCCTGGGCCTTTTCGACCTTGAAACAAGCTGCATGAGCTTCAGCGAGCGTCGCAGGAGATGAACAACTGCGGAGGCTTACAGTCAAGAGAGGACTATTAAGTGCAATGACGCTGTTCTCAAAACGACGAGTGCCTCCTAGTAGATTGCTTGAGTGGGATAAGTACTTACTCTGAGTCGGATTTGAAGAAGTCCAACTCAGACGGCGTTGGCCGCGCTGCCCTTGAGCTTGGACCCTGCCCTGATAGGCGCCTTGAGACATGTCTCTCAGGCTCAAGCGCTCAAGTCCGAGTCCGTTTCTAACCTTCACATGATTGAACTAAGGTACATGCCGTACTGATACAGATTCGACAGAGAGGGAGGGAACTACGCAACTGAACTAGCAGGCCAGACAGCCGGTCTTGCATCAAGCTCCTCGCAGCTTGTTTCCTGGTGCGATTGCCAACAGTGCTCGTTCCGGCACTCGCCTTACTCGTATGACATACGCTGAATTCATTGTCCAGACCGCGGTTCCAGCATAATTGCAGGCGACCCAGATGGAGCCTTTGATATCTTAATTATTTCAGGCTTACGACGTGAGGCAGTGGGGACATTCAAGTAAGTCCCTGATTAACTTCTCGCAGTTGCCCCGCGCAAGGCAGTCCTTGTCAGCACAGCCGCACTAGGGTTGGTTAGTTCGGTGATGTGATGTTGCACATCCAGGAAGCGCTGCATTGCAACAACACAGCCTGCAAGAAACAGGCGAGCCCGCACGAGGAGCGTGGGTTTCCTCCGCGAACGCAGGCATCCGGCCTCCCCACCATATTTGAGATCAAGCACCGAGGCCTACGCTCTCAGGCCTTGTCCCAAAGAGAATTGACCATGGTCCTTAGAGATCAATCCCCCCCGGCTCGCACGGCTGGGCGTAGCCCTTCAAGGACGAATTAACAGAGGTGTGTGATGTCGATTTAAGCAGAGGCTGTTCAGGTATCTTCGCTTCTCGGCATGACTTCGTCGTTGACAACGAGAAGCGATATGTCTCCATGCCGATATAGCATCTACTGTAATAGTGCCCCGAGAGCGGGCTGCGATCACTTGGGCTTTGTGGGTGCAATAGGCAGGGAAGTAGGGTGACTTCCTTTCTTGGCAGTCGAATTTGATATCCTTTCACCCTCTGACCAAATGCAACTGATAGCGCTGCTTCATCCGTCTCCGAACATCAATGTTGCCTTCGGCGAACACCCTATCATGTTTGAGCCTCTACAACGGAGGCACAGGTACTCGGATACCAATATGCTGCGCAGTGCATGTTGCCTACAAGAGCACTCGACTGCATTCGAACTATACCTGCGTTCGTCTTTTCAACCATTCCTCCTTACGAGTCTGCTTGAGGCAGCTCCCTGGAATATTCAAATGTTCTCTTTGAACATGTTCTGTAGATGTACCTCTGCCCTCGTACTTCTCTTGGTGCTCAGTAGCTCTCGTGAGTTCCCTCCGCGTTAGTTCCTGAGACCAATGTTGACATGCACGCAGATGTTGTAGCGGCACCAGCTGTGGTCTCTCTAGTCATTCCAGGCGCATCACCAGACCAAGCGGTCTCCGCGAGCTTCCTCGGCGTCGACGGAACAGGGGCAGAGGAAGTAATTTCATGGTCGCTTGCCCCTGGAACTGCTAGCGGGTCCTTCACCAACACCGCTCCCATAGATGGTATGTCCAGATGTAAATGAATCTATAGTAATGTCCACCCAATACCAATCCCGTCATCCCAGGTATCCTTATTGCAGGGCCGTCGGGAATCCAGCTGGTTGGTGCTAGCCGTACCAGCGTAGTGGAGGGGACGACTATAGCCATCACGGCTTCGATTGATTGCTTGCCAATCGCGACTGCGAGCGCAAGCGGCGATGATCTCTCGGTTTCTTGTGCAGTAGCCGGCCAAGCCGTGGCAGCCGCTGAGAGCAGCACGACCACCATCGACGTTACGACCACCATCGTCACAAGTGCACCCAATATTGCGGCGCAGGTGCCCGATAGTGGGCCTGGTGCAATACCGACTACTGCCTCTGCCAACCCGACAGGTAGCGCCCCTGCGCCTCAGGTTACTAGTGGAGTGGCGGCTCAGAACACCGATGGGACGGTCGTCCAAAGCACCAGCGCACCCGCCTCCAGTACCAATAGTGCACCAAGTTTAGCGACGTCGACCTCAAACAGCGCGGCAAAGGCGGGTCTCATTGGCTCATCTGGTTGGGGTATCATAGGCGTAGCGGGTCTTCTATTCACGGGCCTCATCTGATGTGGGTGGAAGCAGTCTGTGACAAAAACAATATTGGGATCGCTTCAAATGTGTGCAGTAGTATTGACATACCTGTGCGGGGGAGTAAGAGGTAGTCAACAACGACTCCACGTCTTGGGAAGACCGGATTTGCTGTTGGAACCGCAATGAAGTGGCATGCGAAAGTTTTCCGAAGATTCATATGCATCAGTAGACTGGTTGCCACATAACGGTGGCTTTCTCAGGCTAAGAAAAGCACAACTTGAAAGGGTAGCCTGATCACTGTGAGTGCAATGTATGAAAGGCGACGAGGAAAGTCCGAAACGTAGACCGGAAGTGGCTCACGAGCGCGCGCGAACTTGGTCCGAGCAAGCGCAGCAGCAGTCATCCATAGAAGTCAAGGCGTCCGGTCGCCTCCCGGAGAAGAACTGTTACAACCGCCGGCCCTGCGATTGGGAATGGCTACTTCCAATAGTTGTTGCCGTTATTGAGGGTTACATCAAGCCATAAGCCCAGATGCAGAGACGGTGACGGATTTCGCAAACTCCGAGCTGCAACTTCAGAGAGTTAGTCAAGATGCTGAGCATATACCGGATCAACGCCGAGACAGGGAAGAGTCACATCTCAACAGCTGTTCCTGATACTCCAAAGCAAGCAAATTCCGTGCCGCTGCAGCTCCGCGAAGGCGTATGCTTGCGTTCTTCTATTATTCAATGACCCCTATCAGCGTTCATTCAAGTACACACGAATGCTTTGGCTTGCATATATGAACACTATGGAACGGATGGTGAAGTGCTGCTGACCAATATCCATCTCAACATGACTGTCAATACCGACGGTACGACTGCAGGCTCTCCTACACCTCGCGACCCGAAGGCGTTCCCTATTGACGAGAGAGCCTTCAAACGCCTCAAACCCGAAGACCTCCAATTCATTAAGAACTTGACTGGTCTCACGGACGACGAAGCCCTTGAGAAGCATGTCGTGAGCTTGCAGAAGGAGGCATATGAGGTAGGTCTCCAGATTCACGTACTTATTCCGAACACGTCTCACAGCTCTGTGGTACCAGATATACCCTTACCAGTGCATCCGATTCTACTCATTTGCAACGTAAGCCATACAACGCGCTCGCTCGCTCGCGTTAGAAACAGGTCAACGGACCTTGCTCTCTTCAGGACGAGAATACCGCTTGTACCAAATTATGCCCATGTCGTGAAACTTGGACAGGAACGCGAAGATGCTATTCTCCTTGACGTTGGATGCTGCTGTGTGTCTCACGACTCGATACATGAGTTGCTGTCCCGCTCATCCCTATTGTTTCCCGTCCAGTCGGATCGGATAGCCGGAAAGTCGCTGTAGACGGATGGCCGGCAAAGAACATCGTCGCCACTGACATTCACGGAGGCAGGTCCTCGTGTATACTCTTTGATCAGCCCGAACAAACGTAACTTATATGCAATGCGCTCAGATTATTGGAACCTGGGTCACAAACTCTTCCGATCTAGCCAGGAAACCTTCCCTGCAACCTTCCTCGCAGGGGACTGCTTGAATCCGGATTTCGTCGGGGACTCTTCTCCCCTCAAGTCCGGAGGGCCAGCTGAGGTTCCGAGGCCGACGCTCTCAACGCTCACGACACTCGCGCCTCTCCGTGGACATGTCTCCGCGATCCACATCGGCAACGTCTTTCATCTATTCACTGAAGAGCAGCAGGCCTACCTCGCGCGAGTCCTCGCTGGGCTGCTGTCCTTTGAACCAGGATCGATCATTGTTGGCTCTCACAGTGCAAGCAACGTGAAGGGTTTCAGAACCTCCTTCTATGGAGGGAGCGCGATCACCCAGTTCTGTCACTGCCCGGAGAGCTGGACGGCATTGTGGGATGGAGAGGTGTTCGAGAAGGGCACGGTCAAGGTTGACACGAAATTATACGAGCACAAGGACGCACTTGGGGCCGGTAGTGGGTTTTACGGCTTGTCCTGGTCCGTAATGAGGGTCTGAGCGAAGTACGGGCGTGAACCAGAGATGGGGTTACACATGCGTGTACGCGCACCATGTATCTATGTAAGATCCAGGTTTCAACACCTCTCAGCCTGATACCAATGGTATCCTGCGCCCCGGCGCAGCGACGACAGGAGAATGGATCACGAAAGTCGTGCGAGATCTTAGCTTATCGAAAGGGTGCGTATCGTTCAATGATGTGGGCAACAAGAATGTGTGATAGCTGAACATGCCCAGACACTCGAAGGAAGAGCTGGTTGGTGGTCGTATGAATTCCGCGCGTTCCCTCAGCGCATTCGACCAACCTGTTTCAAGCAGGTCATACCCAACGAGAAACGTTCATTAATGATACATCACCAAAAATGCAGGCATGCAGAGCCTCATCGGAACGTCCGCGATTGGTTCCCGCTCTTGGGTTGGCTGTGCGCCTTCGGTGCCGCGCCGAAGTTGCCGTAATAAGCCGCGTTCGACCCTGCCGTACACAGCTCAACATACAGTAAGGATGGTAAGGGCGGTCGCAAATGCTTACCCTTGGCGCGCTTTTGCTTCTTTTTCGCGCCAGAGGCATTCGCGCGCTCGTAGTCCGAGCCATCGTCCAAAATGTTCGGTGCAGATGCGTAGTCGAACGCTTCAACCTCCTCCATGGGACTGGTGTCTTGTGTAGCCCCGGAGTCGGACGCGTTCGTAGCTTTTTCTGTGACGCCCTTCCTCTTCTTCCGCTTAGGCTGGCCAACAACCACTATCGTGTCGTCGACAGGTTCCGCGTCCCGTTTCCGCTGAGATGCAGGGACGAACGGAAGTTCTTCCACCCCGTCATTCTTGAGCACGTCTGGATCGTCTGGGGTGGACACAATGGGCGTCACACTCGTCTCCGAATTGACAGATACGATCTTGGGCACTGTGGGCGCGATGACGAGTGCGCTGTGTATACGACTGGCGGCCTCGAGGAAGCGCGTCTTGTGAGGTGCGATCCGTTGGGATAGCTTTGTAACGTCAGCGTGGTCAGTTCCAGAGAACAAAGTGCTACAGAAACAGGAGACGTACAGAGACAGCATCAGACTTTCCGCCTAGAAGTGAGCTACGCGACGTGATGGGTAGTGTCGTCGCGGCATTCCGTAGCAGCGAAGGTCCGAATAGCGTAGATGACGAAGCTGTTATGGAGGACGCTTCATCAAGACGTGAGCATAGGGTCGACCTATACGTGTTCTCAATTAGCTCACCATTCACCCACAGGGAAGCCGGAGATACGGTCGACGCCATGCTCGTAGCCGTAACAACCGTCGTCAAAGGGTCGTCGACTGACATAATTTCCTCACCCTCTACACTCGCAGTCACTTCTGCGCCGCGTTCCGTTGTGCTACCGGAGCCCAGCGCCCCTTTGACAGCGTCCCGGATCGCGTCCAGCAATTCCTTGGCTCGCCGTCGGATAACCGATGGCACAGGATGGAACACAGAGAGTAGCGCCGCCATGTCAGCAGGTGTCCGCTCCGCGAGCGAGAAGATGTAATGGTTCGGCAGAACATATCTATTTGTCCAACCTGGTCAGCGTGCTTGCCGGTAGACAGTACAGAACGACGCATACCGTGTGCTCTCGTCCTCTTCGCGAGCGATCTTATCCCGCCATGCATGCACTGCACGGTAGACAGCGCGCTGAACGTTCACAGCAGCACCCGTGTTTGTTTCCGCCATGCTCCCGATAAGCAATGTCTTGTTCCACTTGCGCGCCATCGTATCCCACCCGCCTGGGCCCAAACCAAACTCAGCATCGTAGATCTCCTTCTCGTAGACCCGCAACGCGGTCTCTTCCGAACGTGACAGTACCTCTCGGACAAGTACGTGTGCAGGAGGGATCGAGGGATCCGGTGGTGGGGTTGACGTAGGAGATGATGGGCTCTGTGCGCGGGACTGGGCACGAGACTGAGCGCGGTCGAGGAGAGCATTGCGGAGGTTATCATAGATGAACAGGAGGAAATGAGTATCCGAGCGGGCATACTGGAGCATTTCCTTCGGTAATGGCCTACATGTGTGCGCTGCTTAGCATGGCGAAACGACTAGTAGAAGCGGCATCATACCGTATGCGCCAGTCCGCAAGTTGATATCGCTTGTCCGCAGTGAAGTCGCAGTACATCTCCAGCAAGCTCGCGAGGCCGTGCCTGGGAAAGTCTGACATGTGGTCTGAGCTCGAGACTACGGACAGAGACTAGGAACATACCTAGTACTTTGGATGCGTGGTACGTATCGAAGAGGTTGACGATGTAGAGGTTGAAATCTTGCTGAAGCCATACGATATCGCTTTCGGCGCCATGTAGCACCTGCATATAGTCAGCATTCTTGCACATAGAATCGGCGCGCGCGTGCATATACCTTGACAATATTGGGATCCGTGAACACTTCGTTCAGTTCCTCCAGCTCTTCCCTCAGAGCGAGCGTATCGACCACAAAGTCCTCATCGCGGGTGCTGATTTGCATCAGACACACGAAGCCACTGAATGTGCGATAGTTATGGTACTCCAAGTCGATCGCGATCTCACTCGCGGGACGGAGCTTGTCAAGCATCGTCGCGAAATCTTCTGGAGTTGATACCCAAGAGAATGGAGTCTCCTCGAAAGAGCGTGGCGAGATAGGTGGCGCTGACGTGAACATGCGCGAAGGGTAGGCTATATGCCTGATTTCGTAGCGGTAGGGATGTAGCCTCCAGAAGACGTGTGAACATGGGGACGACATCGGGTACACGAAAGACTTACGATGTTGAAGGCTCTTCTCCTTCCTCTCCAAGGTTGTATCCGAGGGGGACTTGAGCATTATACTTATGCTTCAAGGTAGGAGTCCACGCCGTGTGACGGTTGTTGTTGACTTTCCTCTTGAAGGAGAGCTGCGGCTTTGCAAGGTACGACGCGTGTTGTAACGCCGGATCGAGACGTCCCTGAACCCCTGCTGGCTTCTTCTGTACAGGAGGTTTGACTCAGGTACATGACTTAATTACATAGAAGTGGACATACTTTCTGAGCGGTTGCGGGAGTCGGATTCACCGCAATCGCGGGGACTTTGAGATTACCAAGGAATTGATCTATGCCAATATCCTGCATCCTGAAATCGTATCTTCGCGCAGGATCATAATGCGCTGCAATTACTCACCGCGTTTTCAAGCAACTGGTCCATAGCATCCACGACCATTGAGTGGAAGTTGTCTACAACATCGTCCTGTGTTTCTAATCGCGCCTTGCCCTTCCCGCGGGAGGTGTTAGCTGCATTTGCAGTGGTAGACAAGGTCAGGAGCTTGTTCGTGAGAGATAGCACCCGAGCAGAACATTGGTCTAGTCGTTTCGCAAATTCCGGGTGAATGGAACGGTGGAAGGGGATGTCAGCAGGCAGTGAAACAGCCGCGTGTGTCGCCTTGAGAGCCGAGCCCTGCAGCCGGCCGTTATAATCGTTGAAAGACGAGGACGATAGATCGGATGATAAGGACATTGCGGACAGAGCCAAGCTCAATGCCGCAAACAACGAGGACTTCAGAAATTTCGACCCTGGCCGTACGTGACGCATTGTGTCACATGTATGTTGTGGGTTACGTCACGTTTGCTCAGGCCGCCGCCACCAACGAGCTCACCGTCTGCTACGACGACCGTCATCCTTCGTGCAGTCTCCAGCCATGTCAAACACGATCGCTTTGTGAGTAATAACTATTGAACGCGCGACCCTTCAGGCTCATGTGCTGTGCAGGTACCCGCTGTCCAACTTCACCTTCAGGTATGCCGGCATGCTCAACTGTAGCTCGCTTGTACTCACGCAGTATGTTCCGGCAGCACTAAGGAGGCTCAGCCTGAGGAGGATCCATCCGTGTCCGCGCGTCTGCAGCGTCTGCAAAACAACTACGAGGACTTTGGTATGAGGAGGACAGTGGAGGGGATTCTGGTCGTGCATGACCATGGGCACCCGCATATACTCATGCTTCAAATCGCCAACGCGTTCTTCAAGCTGTATGTACTCCTCTACTCCGCTTTGTACTGTACTTGTCTGCTTAAGTCGTCTCAACGCGTCGGAAATTCGTGCATCTGCACATACACAGCCCTGGTGACTACTTGAAGCCAGGAGAAGACGAGATTGAGGGATTGAAGAAGCGTCTGGATGACCGGCTCGCCCCCCCAACAGATTCCCGGCAGTTCAATTCGTCGCATGGCGTCGACAATGAGTGGGAGATTGGTGACTGCCTCGCCCAGTGGTGGCGTCCCAACTTCGAGACTTTCATGGTGCGTACTTCTTCGTCTCTCTATATCTCCAAAGCTCCATGCCGTCGCGCCTGCCTTCGCCGTTCGATGACACTCACGCCACATGCGGTATACTCCTCACAGTACCCATTCATTCCTGCGCATATCACTAAGCCAAAGGAGTGCAAGAAGCTGTTCCTCGTCCAGATGCCTGAGCGGAGTAAGTGGCTGTAATGCAGAAGTGAGGCGGGGCTGGCACTGAATTGGCTGTCGTACAGAGGTACTTGCTGTGCCAAAGAACATGAAGCTGCTCGCCATACCGCTGTTCGAGCTCTACGACAATGCGGCCCGGTACGTCCTCGTTTCACACGCATAGATGTGTTTCTCGGCGTGTGCTGACTGGTCTGCAGCTACGGCCCTCAGCTCTCCGCTATCCCGCACCTTCTCTCTCGGTGGGTTGTCCTCCGGGACATCTTCTTCGCGCATATATAGACTGATCCGCTGTCCGCCAGGTACAACTTCATCTACCAGTAGAGTTCTTCACACGATGCAAAAGTAACTGTTTCGTCTTGGCTCATAGCTCTCGCGTGTAATCAATCGCTGCATGTTTTCTCGCACTATATCGCTTAGCTGTGAATAGATATCCCCCATTACCTTGTAATCTGCCAGACCTGACGTTGAGCCCTCGTTATATTTGGATGTCTGACGTCTGTGCCTGAAAAGTACAGCCGGATCATGGTCGTCTCGTCAGATGAAACCGCCGGCTTGCTCTTCTGCGCTAGGGCGCCTAACTGTCCTCACCCTGTACTTCTCCCATCATGATCTCCACGACTCGTCAGACTTGCCTCCTGGCTCCTTCGAAAAGTCTGGGACCGCAGGTCTATATCTTAAGTCGTCAGATCTCAACACCCGAACGCTGCGGCGAAGACTAGCTGCCACTGATATGGCTTTTGTGGCCCGAGATGTTGGGAACCTCTCGACCTCGACTATGCGACATTTTGATAGCTCTGCTGCGAACGTCTATGGTGCAGTTCACTTAAACACCTCCACTTTTGTGCGCAATTAAGCGCGCGCTTATATGTCACGTGACTTGGCAGTATGCTCGAATCGGTTGTCGTTACTTACCAGGCTGCACAGATGGAAGTGCAAGCCCAAGGAACCTCCATAGAGCCGTTATCCCACAACACGATAGTGTTTGAACCCTCCCATGCATGGCCCAAGTGTAGAACAATCACTCAGCACGCGTCGTACGCGGGACTGATATGTATTAATAGTACCTGTAGAACAATCACTACGGGATGTTAATCAGTATAAGTAGATGAAGTAAGTAACAAACGTATACTCACCTCAGCACGCGTCGTACGCGGGACTGAGGTGAGCCAACGTAAATCGAAGGGAATAAGTACATTACTGGGACAAGACGTTCCCGGTACAAGACAAATGAGTCGTCGTATTCACGAACAAAACAAAGGTGAAACTTATGCGAGCGCAACAAGGCGCGACAAGACGCGTCAACGGCGCGACTAGACTGTCCGCCCGGAACACGGCCGAGGCTCGCACCACGCTTGCCTCGCCGTCCAAACTCCAACACCAAGTTCAAGGATGCCGATCTGTACAGGCAATGGTATGGTGTTATATAAGCATAAAATTACTCTTTGGGGATATAGACGCCCAGATCACGTGCCGTGGCAGAACTGGTACGGCCATTTTTGCCAGTTCTCACCCTATCGAG